ATTACCAGATTATAGCCTTAATTTATAACGTACCATTTGAGTTGGTATAAATAAATCTTCACCTCATGCCTTCCGAAACTTCCTATTATCTGTCATTTAGGAGAGCATCCAAGCACGTGACTAAGTCGGTTGTATCATAACGCGCCTCTTTCGGCATTCCAACAAGTCTCAAAATACCATCTACGATGACAAAAAAGCGAAAGGGCCATGGTTTGTACAATCCTAAGAAAACGTCATCCATCGTATCTGCAAACACGGGAATTTCCAGCCGAGTCGCTTTGACCATTTCGCGAGCAGCAGCTAAACGTTCATCTAATGTGCGGTGCTCCTTAACGCTCACAACATTACCAATAGGCCAAACATCGGAAGCATGTGCTTCTCGAATTTGAATCATGTAGAAATCGATTTGTGAATTATATTTCCTGTATATATCATTGAGCACATGAGATATGCATCGGTATAAAGGACAGGTATATGATCCACCGAGAATAACGAGCGGCCGTCCAGGTTGACAAAGTGAGCGCAAGGAAACTGGTGTTGATGAAGATTCTAGTGGAACCAGTGGACAATCAGGTGCTGGCATTCCTTCGGTTAGGTTTCCCAAATGACAGATGTTATTACGAACATACACTTGAGTTGTATGAAATCGAGGATCATCTGGATAATGAAAAAAAAAAAAAAAAAGCCTTGAGTGCACGAAATCGCAAATGTCAAGGTAAATACATAAAGAATCGATAACCTCACCTGGATAAATTTGTGGGGCACGCCGTAGTAGTTGTACAGCCTCGTCTGAATAGCCGAATTCTCGAACCAATTCATGCTGCATCTGATCAGTAACATCCATCCAGTCCTTACCACATGTGGGATCAGTCCCGACTTCATAATATCGCTTTTGTATTTCAGGCGAAAATCTTCGCTTCTCTTCTTCACGTAGCAGGGCTAACAGTTCCTCTTTTGTAGTTGGAAGTATTGGGGAAACAGTAACAGATGCAGATGCAGATGCAGATGTGGTATTGTTTAGATCATCCTTTGGATCTAAGATTTTGCGAAAGTAATGTAGCACATTATGGAGCAAGTTGGAAATCGTAATACAATCGGAGCATAAGTCATAGTCAGGACATTCTAAACATTTATATCTGTAGGGAAGGAAAAAGAGACACGTAAGCAGAATTGAAAATTTTTACAGATAACAATACATATGCAGCTAAATGATTATTAATTAACCTTATTCCTTTCCATTCTTTTTTGCCACAATAATCACAGACAATACCAACATGAACCCCACATTGTAAAAGTTCTTCACGTGTTTGC